ATCTAGCCAACTAAGACAGCCAGCCAGGGCATCACCTCTTACTTCCATCAGGAAAACTGACACCTTTATAAAGCAGCTCCCTTAACCAAGACCCCAAGCAAATACTTACAGGATCCATCTATTCTTACTTGCATCCCTCCTGTCTCTCCTAAGATCAACGTGTTCGTCTTGTTCCTACCTCCAGTATTACTCAATCAGTTTTCCTCTTCTACTGTAACTCTTTTTACTAGTTTCTTTCCCTGGGAATTTAAATGGAACCCAGTTGAACGCTACTCCAGTCCCTCCATAGCTGGCAAAACTGGCCCAAGTTCTGATGGCAAGTGAAAGTCTAGCCCTCTCCTTAAGATTTCTGCAAATCCTTAGGTGCTTACAATCACAGGCCCCTCCCAGTCCTGGTGTGCTTCTGCAGCCCTGTCTTTGGTTTCCACAACAAAATCACTCACAGCTAAGACTGTTGGATTTAACCATTGCTTGTCTGAGAGATCAGGGGAAGGCTCCTGTTACCCAGCACACAATTTCTGCCATCTTGCTCACTGAACTCGTGTCTGTTTCTCCATCCTCTCCCTTATCCTCCTCATTTTGGATTGTTCTAGGAACACCCAATTGATTCAATTCCCTTCTAATGTCTTGGTGCCAGCCAACCCATTTTCTTTTTCTGTACATTATTAATTGCTAAGTTCCACCAAATATTGTTTTGCAATCACTTAATTCTATCACTTTTATTTTATTTCTGGGCCAACACACTAGCTCGGGTTTCCGCCCCTCGCACTTGGATTACTGCAGTACCACGGACTAACTAGACACGGGGCTTCCACTTCCTGCCCCCTCCAATCAATCCTGTGCAGACCTGGAGGACATCTTTCTAAAGCCGTCCTTCACTATGTCAGTTCCAAAGTCAGAATTCTTTAACGATCCCAATTCTTATGTAATAAAGTCCCAATTGCTTAGCCTGGCATTTAAGATCTTCTATAATCTGGTCCCAACCTAATTTTCCAGCCTTACCTTCCAGTCCTCTGCCACCTGGACAAGTCAAACTGGCAGACCCACTTTCTTTTGCACCTACTTGCACGGTCCTGCCTCCCCGAACCTGGAATGTGTTAGCCCCACGCTCCAGCTCTCTTAATCCACTCACTTCCACATCTGGTCTCAAATATGACCTAATCTTTCAAACCTTTCCTGGAGCTCTAAGTCCACAGAAATCTTGACTTTTTGGACACATTTCTTTCGATCCGTATTAGTATAATAAAGATCTCTGCTTGCAGGGACTGAGGGGGTTTCCCAAGTCATAGGACTTTTAGTGCTAAAACTGAAATGGTCCGGACAAAGTAGGAGAGTTGGTCACCTTACCTATAGTACATGTGGTGAGGATTCTGGGGTAGGAAAGGAAGGCAGTACTTTTTGTGGGTGTCCCTTGGAGGAATTCAGATGACCATGAAAAACCTCCATGGAAGGGAAAGGAAGGTGAGTGAGGACACATGTTGCACCTAAGGATAAGTCTGGGGCTGAGACCTTCAGAGGAACACAGAGCTAAAGGGAGTGCACTGCAGCATTTTCCTTTCTTTTTTCTTTTCTTCAAGAAATTAAGAAAAGCAAGGGGAATTAAAAAAAAAAACACATTTCCAATTAAGGACTTTTAATAAGGAGCTAAGTGGGTTGGAAAAGTACAAATCTTAAAAACAAGATGAAAATCTAGACAGGTGAGCAAGCTTTTTTTTTTTTTTTCTTTTTAATTGCTACTTTGGAAACAATTAGAATCAGAGCTATTTGCTACTAGGAGAATTAAATGAAAGCCAAAGTTAAGGTCAAACTTTCTCAAGGTTTTCTGATGCCAAGTTGAAATCCAAGGTGAATTATAAAGGTTTGGTAAAATGGCAGCAGATAAACCAGTCAGGGAATTGTGTTAGAGATTTGTAATATCCTGAGTCACTCTGAGTCACCAAGGGTCCCACTTTGGCTTTCTACTGGTATTTGACCTTGTCCTATAGAACTGCAGGATTTCTTCTTCCTTAATAACCATTTACAGCGGTCGTTCATTGGGAAGACCAAAGAACCTCTGATAAAGTTAATTCATATTTCAAATGGAGGCCGCTCCGGTGGCCCAGCCCAAGTCACAAATCTGAAGCTAAGTCAACCTGCACTTAAGGGAAATGCCTCACTGTCTAGGGAATGTACCACTCACAACCCTCCAACTTAGTGTTAGATAATTGACCTTACCCTAGAAATAGAACCAACTAGCCTTATAAGGAGATCTTTGACCTCCAGCAGATCATGCCCTGTTTTTCTGTTGCCTCTTTTAAAGTTCCATAAAACTCGCCCAAAATTCCTTAGGCAGCATCTTCACTGCTTCTGAAGCAACTGTACTTCCTAATCCATGGATTGTTTTCCCCTGAATAAAGAACATCAAACTCTTTACTTGACACTTGACACTTCCTAGGACAAGAATTAAAATAGCATCATCTACTCTGCCTGGTGTGGCTCAGTTGGTTGGAGAGTCGTCCCTTCACTTGAAAGGTTGCAGGTTCAATTCCCAGTCAGGGCACATACCTAGGTTGTGGGTTTGATCTCTGGTCTGGGAGCATACAGGAGACAATCAATCTCTCTCTCTCTCTTACTCTCTTCCCTCCCTCCCTCCCTCTCTCTCTCTCTCTCTCTCTGTGAAGGTCAGAGAGGGGTCATAGATCTGAAGCAGTGTGGTAATTTGAACCTGAAACCTTCTGTTAAAAACAAGACAACAGTCTCTAAATGAAGTTGCTTACGCTAAGTTCCAAGTCACCAAACTTAGACTTTATTACAGTTTCAGCTCTCTCAGGCATGGAATCTTAAATCAATCAATCAAGAATCACCTAATTAACATTATTAAGTAATCTGCCTCATAGATGCCCCCTACCACCTCCTGATTAAAAATAATCTTGCCATAACCAATCTGCTTTTTGCCAAATAACTTCTTTGCTCCTGCTCCCTTCTGCCTATGAAAGTCTTTCATTTTGTACAGTTCCTCAGATCTCCTTTCAATAAGATCTTTAAAATTTCCTCAGTTGAATTTTGTTTTTAAAACTTTCAATCCAGTGACCTTGGAGTGTACATTGTCTTCCTGGGAGAAAAAGTGTTGTTGTCTGTAAAAGAACACACTGTCTTAATGAATTCTATCAACCTCACCGGCCCTGCCTTCTCCCTTATGCAGAGTGTAATTCATAGGGAAGGAATTGGTCTTCTAATTTGCAAGAAACTGTTCTCCTGAGGGCTGAGCGGATCCACCATGGCCAGATAAACCACCAGTCAGCTGTGTCTGAAGAGTGCAGAAGACTTCCCTGAAAGGAGACTGGACTGGGGAGCTCAGTAAGGCAAGGACTGGGCCGAGGGGGCAGCCTGGAATGATTAAGCAGTGATGTCAGGCACTGCTTTGAACACCAGAAGAGGCATGTTTTGGGGTGGCATATTCTGATGCCCTTCGATATTAATGTGGATTTTTTTTAGCTTATTACTTATTGCAGTTCCTCATATTTCTTTCTCTATTAGGTAGGTGATTAACACCTTAAAAAAACCTGCCTTATTCACCTGCTTGACCTCAGGAGGGAGCTCAGGCATTAAATATCACGGGAAACTATCGTACCTCTCTAATCAGCCTCTAATTGCTATGGGTGTGAAAACCAAACACTCAACTTTCTGTTTTATTTTTTTACTTTGTTTTATTTATTTATTTTTTTAAATTGGATTTATTGGGTTTGCAAAACCATCCAGGTTTCAAGTGCACAACTCAATACAATGTAATGTGCACACAGCATCGTGGGCCCACTGTCCCAAGCAAAGTCGCTTTCCGTCTCCATTTTTCCTCCCCCTTGCCCACCTCCATCTACCCCCCACCCCTCTTTCCTTCTGGCTATCACCACAGTTTTGCCTGTGTCTGTGTTATGTATACATGTTTTCTAGTTAATCCATTCACCTTCTTTTATCCATTCCCCTATCTCTCTTTCCCTCTGACCTCTAATCAGCCCCAAATTGCTATGGGTGTGCAAACCACTCAATTTGCTAGAATTATTTTAATATGAGAGTAACAAGTTTTGGGACTTATTTTGTATGATCTATATAGTACTGAAGTCTTTGCTCCCATCCCCATTCTAGGGTGCATTCAAAATAAGCCCAATGTCATTCAAAAGAGAGGCTAGATTAATTTGTTGATAGATGCACCTCATTTTTCTTAATGCATCGTTTCTTTTCACTTAAAAGAAAAACTCAGTAGAATTCTGAACTACGGTCAAAAAATGTTTTTTAAATAATTAATTTTTCTTCCATTTTACTCATAACAGTGATTTAACCTGCAATAACCTGTACTTGGTTCCCATTTAATTCGTAGGTATAAACAATGGCTAACATTTTGAGACTTTGTCGCAATTTGGCTTTTTAAAAAAGCTAAATATTTAACTATACAGATGGCCAAGGTGTCGTTCCTGTACAGTTTGCTCTCCCCAAATATTTTGTAATCAGGGCTGTGTTTCGAAAGCTCTTTGGAAAACTAAACACAAGGATCCTCAGGAGACCCTAGGCCAGGAAATGCTTTTAGCCGGGTCCCAATGCACCCCTCAAAGCGTGGGACGGGAAAGGCCGGGCCACGGGAAATGACAGAAGGCAACCAAAGGCTGCAGGAGGCCGTCCCGCTCGGGAGGCAGGCGGGGACTGAGCTTCGTGGGATCAGTGGAGCCCCAACTCCCAGCGGCGCCAGGGTCGAGGCTCCCCGGCCCCTCCCACCCGCGTGCGGCACAAATCCGGGTACCATCGGCGCGTCGGGGTGTCCCCTTCCGCTCCTTCCGGGTCCCCAGTCAAGGCATGCAGCTCCTCCGGGGACTGCGGCTCTGGGGGCTCGGCGCCTACGCCGACCAGGTCGCCGCGGCCCGAGCCCCCGCCGCCCGCCGCGGCCCCTGCCCCAGCGCCCCGCCCCCAGGGCCGGGGCCCCGCCCCGGCCTCCGCCCGGCGCGCGGGCCGGGGCCGCTAAGCCGGGCCGCCGCCAGAGCTGCTGCCAGCCTACACTCGCGGCCCGTTAGCGCCGACATCATGGAGCGCCCCGAAGCGGGTGAGCCGGGACTGCCCAGCTGGCCGAGGGGGGCGACCGGAGCCTGGGGGCGTGGGCCCCGCTCAGCGCTCGGCCTCGGGGAGGGCTCCACCTCGCCCGCGCGCCCCAGTCCTCAGCTGGGGAGCGTGACCGCACGCCCGCCCCGGGCAGATTCTCCTCTCTCCCTTCGAAGCAGGACTCGGCGGAGCACCAGGAGCCCGGTGCGGCCGGGTGTCACCAGTGCTACTCCTATCTAAGCGTTTTAGTGCACGCACTGTTGGTGCTACGAGGGCGACGGGTGTGAACGCAGCCCAAGTTTCAGTTTTGCCCCCCCTTTTTGATCGTGTGACTCTTAGTACAGACTTCATGTCAACACACGCTTTCTGACGGTGTGTGGTTAGCAAAACCTCGAGGATGTCGTCCTTTATCCTCTATCAAAAACATGAAAGACCTGACCCACCACGGTGTGTCGTTAAGGATTTTATTCTAAGTGTTCGAAGAGGACCTTTTTTAACTGGCGCCAAATCTGTTGTCGATTTAATTTCCATTTTAAGTGCGAACTAAACAAACCAGTTAGGGGTTGGACTTTAGGTGAAAGGGACCCAAGGCCAATTAGAGAAAACGCAGAAAAAGATAGAAAGCATTAAAATGTTAATTGTATTATATAATAGCTGTTTACTAGTGTAAATACATTTACAATTGTCATGGGAATGAAATGCTTGTGGCTTTGTGGATGGGTTCGGAGGGTTTGGGTTTTTGAGACAGCCTATCTAGGTTTTTTCAACACAGAAACAAAGTTTAAGATTTTTTTGGAGGTTACTGTTTCCTTACATTCTGTTTCAGGTATTACGGCCTTATTTCGTCCATTTCTCTCTAGCACCTATATTGGACTTTTATTTTTACAATGAGGAAACCAAAGCATGGAGGTCAAGTGACTTGTTGATTGTCACACAGCTCTCAGCAGTTATCCAGATGTAAGATGCTACTATTTTTACTAGCAGAGCCAGGATTGGGGTGAATGTCAGGGACCCTTTCCATTGGTTCTTGGGGGAATATATACCTAGTAGAGTGAATAGAAGAGTCTTGCTTAATAAAGTCATATTTTATTATCCAAATAGGAAGCTTGCATCCTGTGTGACAAAGAGCAAACTGTCCTTTTTCCTCTCTATTGGACTGTCTATGAATGATGAACTTATTTGCTGGAGTGCACGTATATTTGAATATTAGTGTATATTTAATGTATGACTTTACAATATATTTTAAATATACACATCGTTTTCTTAGAAAAGTAATTATAATTCTATTTAAAACACTTGAATAGCAGAAAGTGGGAAAATACCAACATATTCAAGACAACTATGCCAGCATTTAGAAATTTATATCCTTTAGGTTTTTCCTACCTAATTGTAATCATAGTGTTATATTTGCTTTTTAAAAAAAAGTCAAGGTTTGGTAGAAACTTTTTTTCTGGTTGTTGCAGTCTTCATAGCTATTTTTCTTAGTTGTCATTAGAGTGAGTATGCTTTGTGTAACCATATCCCTATTAGGCATTTAAGCTGTTCCACTTTCTTTTTTTTTGTTGTTTAAACAAAGCTGGTGAATCTATGTAAGCATACTGTATATGATATATATATGATATATACAGCATACTGTATATATCAGTAAGAAGAACATTTTCATGGCTCCTGGTCTGTTGCCAAACTGCTTTCTGAAGGGATTATTTCAACTTACAGCACTATAAACTGTGTATATTAAGAGGCAGCAGGACATGTTGCTGGAAGGGGCAGGTTTGGCAGTAGAGTGACTGGACTTAAATCCCATCCTGAGACCTAGCTGTAACCTCGGGCAAGTTACTTAATTGGCTAGTCTGTAAAATCAGCATAATAATACTGGGTTGACCAAAGAGTTCCTTTGGTTTTTTCCGAGGATGGCCCTAGTAGTGCTTTGTTGTCTTTAAGTTCATGTGAAACAATTTTGTTAAATTTTATTGAGACAGCTGTCATCAGTGTGCATTTAAAAAAAACTTTTCAAATTGATGAATTTTTGTGTAGCCATTTTCATATTGAAGATGGAAGGAAATTAGCAACATTTTGGGCATGTTATGCTGTGTTATTTCAAGAAAAGTAAAAACACAACTGAAACAGAAAAAAAGATTTGTGCAGTGCTGTGACTGACTGTGTAAAAAGTGGTTTGCAAAGTTTCGTGCTGGAGATTTCTTCCTCCATGGTCAGTCGGGTAGACCAGTTGAAATTGTTAGTGATCAAACAGAAACACGGAGAACAATCAATGTTCTACCATGTGGGAGATAGCCCATATTCTCAAAATTTCCAAATCTATAAAGTTATTGGTGAAAATTAAAAATGTCTTTTATGGAAAAAACTGTACAGACTTTTGGCCAACCCACTGCTATCTCCTTCATAGCATGGTTGTGTGGAGTCAATTATCTGGAAATTACTTCTCTGGCTGTGTTTGGCAGACAGTACAGGCTCAATGTTAGCTGTTTTTAGTAGTAGTGGTAGTAGTTTGCCAGTTTGACCTTATCTTTATGTTACTAGTGCACTTAGAAACATTTCTTTTGTTTGGATTTTTACAAAAGATAGAATTTTATTTTAACTAAGGTTAGACCAAATTTTAAGTACTCAAAACAATTTTTTCTTTATTTAAGTTCTTTATTTAAGGGTCAGCCATTTTAAGGCAGTTTTCCAAAAGTAAAATATTCATACCTTCTATAAAAGAAAGTGTAGTTAGGATGGATGTGTTTAATTTGTGTCTGCTTCCCTTTGCCTAACACTAAAGTTTAACTGGAGGAGGGCTTCTAGATTTAAACCCTGTTAAGGGTTTAAATGTTAAGAAACATTGCTCTATAGGATGACCAGCAGTTCTTTGAAGAGCTACTGGGAGGTAATATTCTCATTGTCCTGAGTTAATCATTAACATCTACAAAAATGGTTTCAAGTAATCTGTAATTTAATGGGACAAAGTTCATTTTTTGTGTTCTAGACTCTTGTTGATTTTGACATAGCATTACCATCAAGAGTTTCTACATGCTTTATTTAAGAAGATGGAGAATGATGTTGAGCAAGTCGTATTATGCTTCAATATTTTTATGTCAGATGGGATGTAGTACCTTTCCTTCATTCATCCTGTGGAAGTGAGAATCTGATGTGTTGAAGCTGCCTTTAAACACCAGGAGTTATTTTTCATGGGCGTTGAGATAGCTCTGTTGCAGTGCAGTTTGAGTAATTTATTAGCCACTCCCAAATGTGTACTTAACCTTTATTCAGTCATTTAGTACAAATGTGTTGATTACCTACTATGATCTGAACACTGCTCTAGGAATTGAGGAATCCAAGGAGAATAAGATATGGCACTTAAGGAACTTAGAGTAAGGTAACCATACTTACTGATAACAGTGTAATTATGAAAAGCTTCCCCTTTCACTTTCAAAAGCGCCTGGGTTTGGGCAGCAGACTATAGGTCTCTTTAGCTTAGAGCCTAAAGGGCAAGACAGACACGTGGACATCGATAACATGGTTATTTGTGCTGTGACAGGAGGAAGCACTATTTCCTAGAAGACTGGATTACCTGATTCAGCCCTGAACTGGGGGTCAGGAAAGTTTTCCTTGATAGTCTGATTTGAGTTTTTCCATCTATATTGATTGTTCTCAACTGTTAACACAGTCCCTTAGTCTGGTGTAAAAACACACACGGAAGAGGTGAAAGGGGGATTTTCTAGGGTGGTGGTTTTGAAACCTGCATTGCACATTAGAATCACCCTGCAAGGCGTTAACAAAAATACTGAAGGCTGGCCTGATCCCCAGAGATTGTGATTTACTTGGTCTGGGGAGGGACCGGACTCTGGTAATGTAAACAACAACAACAACAACAACAACAACAACAACAACAACAAAACCCTCAAGTGATTCTAATGGGCAGCCAGGAGTTAGGATTTTTCAGCTAGGATAACCTTGTCATCTAAGAGATCAGGTAACTGCTGAGGCCTAGAGAGTTCACATGACTTGCCCAGGATCACACTCAACTGTCTGTTTCCTGATGTCTAGTTTCAAACCTTTCTGTTAGAACAGCCAGCTTTCCTTGCGTCATTACCTAAATGCCACTGCTGTCACCCTTGTCGCTGCACGGTTCTCTTTTTGGTGTAGCCAGTGATCCGCATAGCTCTTATTCTCTTTTGGTGATTAATTGAGCTTGAGATAAACTAAACGTTAAACTATTGCAAGAACTTTTTTTTTTCGCCAAAAAAGGTGACTAAATTTAATTAACCATGTTATTTAATTTTTCTTCTTAGCTTCAGAATGTGTTATTAAATTACAAAAGTTCCCATAATGCCAAGAATCCAGTATATTTCCAAGTGACCTAAGGACTTTGGAGCTAGCATTAAGATATCAGTGTTAAATAGGCCAATTTCACATTATTACGTTCTTTTCCCCCTCTAGCTTTATTGAGGTATAATTGACAGGTAAAGCTGTATCTATTTAAAGCAAACATCCTGATGATTTAATATAAGTATACACTGTGAGATGATTACCACAATCAAGTTAATTGATACATGCATTACCTCACATAGTTTTTTTTGTGTGTGTGAAAATGCTTGAGATCTACTTGTAGTAAATCTCAAGTATATATAATACAGTATTAACGATAGTCACCATGCTGTACTTTTGATCCTTAGAACTTATTACTAATTACTTAGATTAAGAATAAAATAGAGAACGACAAATGTTGGGTGTATTTTGTTCTACTTTTCATTCAGGCTGTGCATACTTAATTGCACAAACACTACTCTTTGCTGCTAGCTTCCCAGGTGTAAGCCACAGGGTCAGTAATGACCCGTTATGTGTAGCTGCATGTGCCCAAAGGCAAAAGATACATATTATCTATTAAAACTTTTTTATTGATATATTAGAAATTTTAAAGTGTAAACTATAGTTTTCAATGCAAGCATAACGATAGAAAGTAAACAGTTACTTGTTCTTGTGTATTTCAAAAAGTTGTGAGTTTATGATTCAACTCATAGTAAACTATAAGGTCTTTTGCTTTTTAATTATTGAATTTCCAGAATAGCATATGTAGAGTCATGTATTTTTGACTGAATTTCCAATGTTACTGTATAATGGAGAGAAAAGATTTAAAAGTGTTTACTGAAGAAAAAAAATAAAGGTCAGAACTTACACAAATTATAATACACAGTGATATTGTTAAAAAATAAATATGAAAAAGACTGAAAAAAAACTTGTTGGTCTGTTTTCCAAAGGTGTGTGAACAAATATAGGTTTAAAATTAAGAAAATATAGCTGTAAAAGATCTTGAAGATTATTGATTAATGGAGTTTTCATCTAACCCTGATTTGAGTATAGTGCTTCAGAAAATTATTACAGCTGCTTAGCATAAAAATGTATGTATAAAAATGTAGACTATGGTATACATAGTAATAATATAAGTAGTTTGTAATATATTTGAATACAAGTATCATATCTCAGCATGTTAATTTATATTGAAGTCAGCTGAGTTGTTTTTAGCTTAGAATGTAAGTTCATTAAGTTAAATAACACATTTTTCTTTTTCTGTGATATGTTAAAGAAGGAGTAAATTCCAATGAATGTAAAAATATGTCAAGAAAAAGGGAAATGTCAGAAGAATTTGAAGCCAATACTATGGATCCTCTGGTCGATATGCCATTTGCTACGATAGATATTAAAGATGATTGTGGAAGTAAGTACTTTATTAAGTAAATATGTATTTAGAAGCAATACATAGTAAATTTAGTGATATATATTTATTTTCTTAATAAATTCACCATAAATACTTGCCATGTTTTTAAGTTTGGTTTGTTAATTAAAGGGTATCTGTTGGTATTCTATTGTGAAAACTATCACAGATAATATTAAGACATGTCTCACAAATTTTGGGTCAGATCATTCTGTAGTTTATAAGGAACTTCAGAAATCCATGGGGCAGCACATGCCGTGGTATATAATCCCCTTCTTCAGTTATTCTGGAGCCAGTGCTAATTTCAGCAGTACCCATTCATCTAACAAATGTTTCCTGGCCCTTTGATGTGAGCGAGGCACTTCGCTAGGCATTGGGAGGGTCACCAGTGAACAAGACAGACATTATCCCTGCCCTCACGGAACTTAGCAGGCTAGTGTTGAAACCGGTTAAACTTTCAACTATGCATTTATTAGATTGATTAGTCCTTCAGAGCTCTATCCACAGACTTTAGAGAACCAATGCTTACTTGATTAAAATACTGCTGGAACCACATAACTGCCTGAATCTGAATTCCCCATCATTGTAGAAATAATACTGTATGTGATATTTGGGGCTACCACTGCTGAAAATGCCTATTTTCAAGTTACTTGTGAATAGGAAAAGGAGGAAAAGCACCACTGTATTCCACAAGTATTTATTGACTATGTACTCTGTACCACTGATTGTTTGCAGCCTTACCTAGAACCTTGCTATGACTTGATATAGTTTTATCTTGACTTGGGGTCTGTAACTGGAGATTCCATAAGAAATTATCTTGCACAGTTTCTTCGTTTTTGAGAAGAGAAAATGAAATTCAGAGAAGTTAAGTAAATTAACTAAAGTCACACAGTTGAACTAGTCATGAAGTCTGTGATTTATGATTCATTAGTCATATATTTCATGAACATTTACTGGATACATGTTAAATGCCAGATATTCATGCCAGCTATTGGTAATATTGAAACACATAACAATATTGAAATGCGTCACCATAAAGAAACTCAAAGCTTCGGTGAGGAGCCAATACATTAACAGCCCTAATTCCATAAGATGAATGCCATACAGGATGCCATGGGAATACATGGGGTGAGGATGTGCGTGTGTGGGGGGGGGTGGCGTATAACCTGGATATGGAGGTAAAGGGTGTCCTGGAAGGCTTCTAGGTTTGGGAACAGTAGAGGAGGCCTGGCTGTTAAGTACCAACTATCCAGGGTTCTTTCCTCTATGATAACTGTCTTGAGCTTAACTGATCATCAGAATTTTCTGTGGAGTGATATAAAATTGCAGATTCCTCTTTTTCCACCCGTGTCAGGTGGAGCCTTTTTGTTTTATTTTTTAAACATTCCATGTGATTCTGATGCTCACATTGTCTTCTGATACAGGAAACCTGGTTTATATTTTGGGGAGATGTAAGGAGAGAGGAATGCTTAAAATGTATGAAATCTCTGGAATCTTATTAGTCAGTTTTTCCTATTCCATAATCTAAGGGAAAAGGAAATACAAAGAGGTGTTTGCTCAGTTAGGACATGGGTTTCCCATTTTTATAGCTGGCTTTTGTGATTTTCACATCTATTAGAGAAACCTTCACTTGAAAAATTAGTATTTCTCTAAGTAGAAGATACCCTTTAGAAATGAGAGGCAAGAATAGCGGTGATTTAATCATGTTTTCTTCTTAAAGTCCTTCTTTTGAGCAAATAAAATGAATATATGTAAAAAATGCAGTAACTTCTTTCTGATTTCATTACTCTCTCCAATTTGGGTATAAATTGAAGAAGAAAGCTCCTGAATAATCCTGTCTGTGTGCCGTGGTGGGCATCTCCCTTCTTCCTTCTGGTCCCTGTTGCTGTCTTTGAATCGCTCCCATCAGAGAGCTCATAAGTTAGATGGAAACAAAAGGTGACACTTGTGTGCTGTCCCAGCTATCAGTACTTCTGACTTATACATATCTAAGGTACATGAAACAAACTGCTTCTTCTATTAGGGGTTGAGAGTGATACCTCCACAATCCCAGACAGCAACTAGTATTTCTGTAGCTACTGTATTTTCATACCTCCACTGGTGAGGAGAAACAGTGGCCAGTGGGATCAGAAAGGAGGGAAGGGATCTGTCTGTGGTTCTGCAGTCCATTTCTACTCTTAAAGATACAGCTGCTTCTTCAGAGGATGGGTGTCAGGAAGACCGGCCAGTTCTTCATAGGAGTAGGGATCTTTTCTCTGCTGTATATGGTGCATTTCTTACCAAAGAAGTGACCTTATCCATTAAGTTAGGGGCTTGCTCAGGTCAACACACAGAAATCCATTTTTAGGCATATAGTGTTGTACCACTTTTTGATAGTTCAGATTTTGTGAGTTAAAAATCTTTGTGGCTTAGTCTTGACACCAAACCACCATGTATAATATTACCTTTGTGGGAAGATTGATTTCAAATCCCAACCTTCAACTTATACACAGTCAATGTGTGGTATAATGAGAGAAATAGAAAACTTGTGTTTAAAGTTTTGGTTATTTCATTTTCTTCTTGTGTGACCTTGGACACAAACTGTGTGAGCTGGGCTTCTTCAACTGTGAAACATGGATAATTTCCATTTGTTTGCCATGGTGTTGCTATACAGTTCAAAAAAGGTAATGTGTGGAAAGAAGTTAATTAAAAATATAATGTACAAATGCTACTTACTAAAACTTTGAAGCATATCCCTTAGTTATTTGGGGACAACTTATTCTCTCATTTTTATAGTAGCATTTACTAAAACACTAAGGAACAAATAGTAAAATTCTTTGCAAACCAGAAACTGCTAATCTGTTTTTGTGAAGAGAGATTTTTATAGAAATATACAAAAGTGGGATTTTTGTTGTTAATTCTTAAACCTTAAGGTAGATATAGTCATAGTGTTTGTGTCCAAAACACAGGATAATTAGTTGGTAGCCAGAATGGATTTGGGGCTTTCTCTCGCATTTAGTAACATGGAAATTTAATCAGTTGAACCGCTCCATGGCAGACGACAACCTTAAAATTCTCAAGTAGCTGGTTGTTGCCTTTGGTTCTTTCAGTTTCCTTTGGTGGGTGGAAATTGTGTTAACTGCCAAGAAATTCTTGCTGATTGAAACCCTGGCAGAGCATTGGGGAAAGTAGTGCTAATAAGAAGAACACCGTGGGAAGGGAAATCCTTGCCAGTAGGAAAGCTCCTCCCCAAATGTTTGGTTGTGAGTGGGTCTCGGTTGTCAACTGTGTTACCTTCAGTGTGGATACAGTATCATTAGGTGTCATGTGGTCTAACTGGCTGAAAGGAGTCTTTACATTTTTTGAGAAGGGACTATTTTACTAGAATTATATGTTAGAATATAAAATGTATTAGAATATTATGTTAGAATTAAGTGTAAAATATATCAGTGATCTTTATTAGAGTATAAATATACATAAGAAATAAAATATTCAAATGTATATGCAAAAGAAAATCTTTTAGAAATATTGAGAAAGCCATACAACCTGAGCTACACCTCTGGTTTTATAGGTTCGACGTGCTCTGGGAGAAAATCCAGCATTTACGAATTGTTGACCTGGACCTGGGTGGGTCTGTTTTCTTTACAGGGGCAAGTGTCATTGGTCAATAGGTTCAAAACCCAGTAAACCACCTGGAAAATGGAGTTGCTGTTAGTCCTGCCTCTGAAAGTTGGATGGGAGTGTGATAGGGAGAGTCATTTTACTGTGATAGGAATAACTTAGTGTGCTTCCCATGGCCTATACGTTTATGCAGAGCTTTAGTTTATTTGATCTATTCTCTTAAGAGAATCACAGGCTTTAAGTATCGAGCCATACTGAATCAAGATTCAAAATAAAATACTTGAGTGAAGTTTTTTTTTCCTCCCACTATGTCTTTCCGAAGTGTGGAATTCAGTTCTCATATTGAAATTATTACAGTCTTTATCTTACCTAACAGAGAATTCTAACCTTGTAGTTATTGGAGATTTTAGAGATGTGGGAAATTATTGTTCTATTACTTATTTATTATTGAATACTATTAAGTTGTATTTAAAAAATACTGTATCTCTTAAGAATTTAAAAATATCAGTTGAAACTTACCTTTACCTGAAAAGAAAATTGTATAGGAAAATGCTGTATCAAATAAAAATTGAATCTCTATCTCTGCTGTAGTAAGTGATTAGTGATTATCCTGAATCAGTTTTTATAAAGGATAAATTATGTTCTGTTTCCTCTCTATAATTGGTTGGGGAAATATAGTCCAAATTTTACTATGAAAGACTTAAGGCAAATATTTGTCCCAGATAATACAAAGGGTTGATATCCTTTTCCTTTTTTTAAAAAAAACAAACAGGAAAACAAATACAAGTTAGAAAAGCCTAATAGATATATTAATTTACCCAACATTTAATTATTGAATGTACCAGCTACTATTATTGGTGCTGGGCAAAGGTGTAGAAGATAAAATTCAGTTTGTAGACAAATATATGGAGAGTTACTCAGCTTTATAAATATCAAAGGAAGCACATTAAAATATGATTATAACCCACCAGATTGGCAATATCTTTAAAAAATAGTCATTTTAATGTCATATCAATGTTGCTCCTGACAATGTATTGTTTTAGTTGTTTTAGAAGGGAGTTTGTTCAACTCTCAAGCAATGTTCATACATGCGGTAGAACCACTCATGGGATCCCTGATATAAAGACATAGTCTTATTTGTGGAAAAAAGTTTTATTAATAAATATGTGTGTCACAGTGTCTTTTAAATAGTAAAAATATTGGGAAAAATGCAAATGTCCAAGCTTATGGAATGGTTGAATAAGCTGTACGAGTGCCTTAAATTATATATTATGCAATTATATATTATGAAAATGATATTTCTAAAAAGTATGCTAAGGGAACATTTCCTATATTTCCTGCAAAGTGAAAAAGTAGGGGGAAAATGTATATACTCTTTATACTTGTTTATAATCGTGTAAACA